AGAGAGAGAGAGAGAGAGAGAGAGAGAGAGAGAGAGAGAGAGAGAGAGCCATTATACATTAAAATAATTATTTTTTTAGTTTTTTTTAAAATAACAAAAACTCATAAATGGTCCCTGTAATAGTAAAATGACGGAAATGCCCTTCACTTAACGGCCAAAAACTAACGGAGTTAGCGAAAAGGACCATTTGTTAAAAGTTTCGAAACCATAGGGACCATATGTGATGTTTTTAAAGATTAGGGACTAAACTTCAGATTTTCTGAAACCACATGGACCATTTTTGAAGTTTTGTCTTTATTTTATTAATAATATAATATGTATTTTGTTATTTCAATTATTTATTTGTATTAATTTCTTATATGATATTATTTAAAAGCAAATATGAGATGACTTCTTTTTTATTTAGTTTATTAACATTATACACTTATTTTTATATTGTTATCATTTGTATTTCCTTAAACTAATTAGTAATTAAAATAAATTAAAAGTACGCTATCTTTTTTGGTATATTATCTATTATTTTAAGTGGTATAATTATTAATAATTATTGTAAGCTGACCGTTCAAAGAGAGAGAAAAGGAAAAAAGAAGCCTGAAAAAGGTCAAGGAATCCGGCCATACCCAATTACCAATTACCCCCGCCGTTTGTTATTTGTTATCTTCGCGCGTCTCCAAATTTTTTCTTTCCCCTTTTCATCATTTGGTTGTACACTCCGAACATGTGAGCGGAGAATCCCAAATTACTCTCAAAATATGGACTCTCCTCTGCTACAGCGCTACCGTCGCGATCGCCGGAAGCTCCTTAACTTCATAGTCTCTTCAGAGCTGATCACGGATATTCGAAAGTTTCCTGGTTCCGTCATCGATTTCGATGTTATCAGCGCCGATTATGTCCTCGAATGCATAAAATCCGGTGGTAATTTCTTATTTTCTTACCTAGTTGTCATTAAGATTATTTACTATAACGATTATCTTTTAACCCATTGTTTTTTATTGTTTTTTATTTATTTATTTTTATATATTGTTATCATTTGTATTTCCTTAAAATAATTCTCATTAAGATTATGTATTTAACCCATTGTTATTATCGATAAATTTATGGATATTTACCACATTATATTCTAAATAAATGTATCTGACCCGACGTTTTTTATTTTACCGAAAATACCAATGAGTCCGAACAAGACATTTTCGATTTTAAAAAAAAAATAGATAATGTGTACTTTTTTATTTTAGTCAAATATTTTTAAAAAATTATCTTTCATTTTCTAAATAACTATATTAAAATATCTAAAATGATCAAAATTTTAATCAAATATCACATTTAAAGTCATATCTACTCCCCATTTGCTACGTCAATTTAACTATTTTTAGTGAAACCAAATACCTTCTTGAAACTTCAAAATAGTTTTCTCGTTAGAAATTCAGTCTGGGTTGTCCGAAAGTTACTTTTTTCTAGAAAATAAACCTTTTTTATTGAATAAAGTTAGTCTACAAATAGTACAAAATGTTACATGCTATATGTGTTGGTTATTTTTGTAAAATCAAAAAATGGGTTATTTCCTTATAATTCAAATTTTTTAATGGTTAATTTTATGAATATCATTTAAATTTAACACTATTACTTTTAATATAATTATAAGTAGGAGACAGATCCATGTAAATATGGGCTCAAATATATTGATTTCCAAAATATGTTGTTTAATTTAACCTTATAAACAAATTTTTAAAAGTTCATATGCAAAAAATGTTTAAACAAAAATATTGTATTTACTTAGACTTTAACAATAATATTTTATGTACTTATAATAAGACAAAAACATTACATACACATTAAAACATTATATTTTCTTATAAAAATAAACAAAGGCCTCGAGATGCTTCTTTTCTTCTTAATGCAAAAACCTCTTATAGAGACTCTATAAGAACATTATCCGTAAAATTTTGTTCAGAATATATCATGTAGCCGAATTCCTGACTTGAGAAGATGTTACATCTCTAAATGCCTCAAATTATCCCTTTTTTCCCGTTGAATGGATTCAGGAAAAACTTTGTTATTGATTACCAGTCTGTCGTTGAGCTTTCGTTTCTCATTATACTCTTTCAAAAACAAAGCCACCTTGTGTTTGAAGTCTCTCTAGGTTCTTGTCAACTTTGACATGCTGCAATGGGTATCTTGCAAACAGAATATAAGGATGCTATTCTACCTCCTAGGACGTATGGTTATAAAGGGGGAGAGAGCAGTGAATTTAAAGTTGAAGACGGTTGTTGAACCAACTTATATGTCATGTATTTAGTAAATGGTTCACATAAAGAAAATTTGATGCTTTCAATAATTGCATACGGTCAATACGTTTACACTCCCGAAGCGTGTAGACACCAAAACATCTCATCCAAACTTGAAAATTCTAGAAACATATTTCAATGCATGAACAAGAATGTATGCTATCATGGCTTTAATGATATGTATAATATTCCTTTTATCATACTATATTATAAATGGATAATTTTTTCTTTCTCCACATTCGTTTGAAACTCGTAACTCTTCATATTTACATATAATATACTTAATTTATTAACTTAAATATATTTTTAGTAGTAAACATTATTATAAATGAAAGACTTTGTGACTTATCAATATGATGTACTTAATTTGTTAACTTCAATATATTGTTAAACTAGGTGTAAGACCCGTATATTATACGAGTTCGATAAAACAAAAAATTAAATATGAAAGTTTAAACAAAAATTTATTTAAATTTAAAATTTTAGATTTGAAATTTAAAATTTAAAATTTGAATTTAAAAGGAAACATATTAAATTTTATATGAGTACTAATATTGTAATTTATTGGTTATTTTCAATTAAGACAATTATTAATTGAGGTGTAAATATGATATGTTAATTAAGAAAAGATAAAAAAAAGAGAAAATGACAAATGGAAAAAACATTTAATCAAAAATACCAAAAAATGACATGTGTCCAAGTTAATGAGAAAGTGACATGTGACAAAATTATTTTCATTTATTAGGGAAGATAAATAACCTATATTAATATATCAAATAAGCTTAAAAATTTAGTGTAAATTTAAAACCTAAAGTAAAATATCAAATAATGTTTAAAA